AAATAAAATCTGTTCAACCTGATCCCACAGCCTCAAGTGTCTCATTTTAAAACTTCTCAGGCGTGAAATAGCTTGGCTCTTCCTTTTATGCAGCTTCAGCTATCCTTTGTCTTCTCTTTCCACGGTTTCTTTGCACTTTGTAGCACTCTTTTAACACTGATACCCAAAGCTCTATTATTGTCATTGTTGTTATCATGAATAAGTTATTCCAATATTCATACATTTGGCAAAGATATGTTTTCCTGATTTAATTTTGAGTAGATGTCATTTTTGTTTTTGAATGCTCTGTTTCACTTTAATTTACACTAAAATAAGCCTTTTTCCAAATACCCAAAATTCACTCCTGACTGTTAATAACACTGTGCTTCCCGCTAGATGATAGGACCCACTCACCATGATGGGGTGAACTCCACATGGGCATCAAAAAATCCCGTCACCTCAGCAGTGGCTACCTTCCAACCCTCGATCCTGGCCCTGATCAATCCCTCTCTCTTTTGGTTCCTCACAATCTTCACCAGGCCGGGATAGCGTTTGTTCACATACTCCTCCAGTGGACCTTTCAGTTGCTCTACAGTTCAGAAAATGAAGATAACACATCAAGCAAAACAAGTCAGAAATGCTTATAAAGACTGATCTTTAGTTGATCTTTGAATCTGCAGTTCAGCTTATAATCTGCAGATGCGTCCTTGAGCAGTCTGCCAGCTGGAGTTTTCCAGTATTTGATCTGATGTCAGGACTAATAAAGCCTGAAAAGAATATATCACCATTGCAGCTAAGTTGGCGAGTATAAGAAGAATCTCTACATGCTAAGGAAAGTGCTTCTCTAACGTCAGATCCATTGCAGCCCTCTTTACTGAAGAAAGGAGGAAAAAAGGAAAGATGCTGTTCCAGAGTCCCCTCTGGCAGCAACAATCAAAGCCTGACACATTATGCCTAGCTTGCATAATTATTTTCATGCAATCATAATAATTGGAATTCATGTCGATAAATATGAAAGGACAGCCGAGTGAGCTTAAGCAACCATTCCCAGTATGACAACTCTTTTGTCTCACTTCTCTCACTGGCAGCTTGCACTCCTTTATAAACCTCACATCAAGCCTTAGTATTAGTTGCGTGAAACAACCAACACAAAGGGCAACCCACTAAGCACTAAGCAGTGTTTTTTATTTTCATTTTAGGCTGTCCAGAGACAAAGAACTATAAATATTCAATATACCTATGAAAATATACTCACTGTATATATATAATCAAAGCATTTCTTTAGCAAAGTGCACGTACTAGCCCTTTTTAAGTTCGTTGATATATGTGCACTCAAACAGGCCCAATGAGATTGAGGGTTATACCCCAATTATTTGTGTTAGGTTTGTACACAAAATCAGCAAAAGCACCATAAAGAAAGCTTATTTAAATAAAGCTGATACTGTGAGAACAAAGCCCAAGGGGTGGAAAATGAGTAAAAAACCTGTGAAGCAGAGAACAACATGAGGGACTGTTGCAGAGCGCATGAGTGACACAAGCTCACAGATGAGCTGACAAAGATTGGCAGAAATCACTTTAGAGCAGCCGGGTAATAAGGAACAGGTGAACATAGAGTGGAGCAGATAAAAACCCAAACAAATACTTTCAGACAATCCTAAAGCTCTTATTTAGCTACATAGAGCCATGTGTAAACATTTTGTCTTTACATTTTGCTTCCAAGGAACCGAACTGTCTTTTAATTCTGTAATTTATTTCACGTTCTTCAGGCTTTCTGAAGGTCCTTCAAAGTTGTTCTTTGGACGTCATTTTATTATAATTGTCAGTGCAGTCCTTTATTTGTTTGTTCCTATGAATCATTCACACATAATAAAGGCACCTAACTCAAGGGACAAATTCGTTACTGGCACATTACCAGCAGCTTGTCACAAATTCACAATTTGTTTCCTGCACAAAAAATGACAAAGATAACACACTAGCAAGGTGATTATCAAAGAGCTATTAGCCAAAAACCTGTCCTCTAAACAAGTAGAGGACAAAAGAACTGGCAGCTTAAATAAAAACATCTACAGCAGACAAACAGAATTTGAAAGTTGTGTCCTTAAGAAATAACAAAAAACTGACACACAACGTGACAGATGCATCTGGCATCTTAATTTTTGCAAGTTTCAATAAACTGCTACATCTATTTCCCATTTTCCTAGCAAAATACAAAGAAATGACGGCTTATTAGCTCATCCTATCCTAAATAACCGCTAATGTATGCCAACTATTGTCACTGCTACACTATCAAAAGCTGAAAACAAACATAAAAAAACATACAAATTCATCCCCACAACAACACAGCTTATAAATAAAGAAATAAAGAAGCACACATACAAATAGAGAGGTGACATAAAAGTTCTCACTCAGCTCCCTGCGGTGCTGTTTTAAGCTCCAACTCACTCTAAACTACACCAACGGGGGTCTACGGCTTCCTGAGCAACAACGACCGCGCCACCTTTGATCTCTCAATCAACTCATCAGCCTTTTCCCTCCGGACCAAAACACTCACAGCCCTTCTTCCTCTGTATCACACACAAACACACACACACACACACACAGATATACAGAGCAACATTCCTTCAGAGAAAAACACATTTCTCGTGCTCTGTCTTCCATTTCTTTCTCTCTGTTCTCGTACTTCTTTTTTTTTCACACATACTCTTCATCACAAACTCATTTCACATGCGTGTTTTTTTTCCACATACAAACATATATGGCAAGAGCATGGCGGTGGGTGTCTTGCAGGCAGTAAGAGGGGTAAGCACTATTTGTTCGCTCGCCTCGCCCTGTGCGCCACTGCAATGTCTTCCTCTTTGTGATGGATAGCTGGCTGTCAGCCAAGCAGCAGTGTCAAGTGAGAGAACGCTTCAGCTGTCTCAGTCCTTTCACTCTCCCACTGTGTAGCTCCGTGTTTCTTATACTAAGTCCCATTGTTTTATAAGAATGATTAAAATACATCTGTAAGCTGCACTGTCACATATGCTTCTTGATAATGTATAACTTGCTGCGTTACCAGATGCCAAAAAGAAATTAACACTCAGAGCGCACATTCATGGCTAAGGCTAGTTTTTGCGATCCACATCCACACATCCACTGCCATTAATTAAAGCGATCCACATCCACAGCAACATTTCTTCCTATTCTTTCTTTATCCACGATGCACCACTCCACCGGGTTTTATAAAATCTCAGCAGGGAGTTATTGTGTATTCTTGCTACAGACAAACAGCACTGACAACAATCCTCTGCCAAGGTGATTCTTGGAGTATAAATTATACCAACAAATACACAAAGAAGTCCAAAAATGTGATAAACATGAATCACGAATGAAACTAGTTCATAACCAAAGACCCATGTCCAATTTTCTATTTCCTGCTTGGGCAACATTTTGTAAAAACTTCCGCACACAGCACTTTTAGAAAACGATGTACCCTTTGTATAAGAATGAAATCATATATTTGCGACACTTTAGTAAAAGCCAATTGGCTTGGGGAGTGAAACTGAAAAAGTAGGGAAGTCAGAAAGTGTTGGTTGTGAGACTAAGGCATTGTTGGCTTTGATCTTTTCATGGATTTGTTGACAGTACATGAATTAGACATTGGCAGCCTTATCCCCCAAAGCCTCGACTATCTCATCTCTTTCTTCCTGTTTCCTTGTTTTTTCTTTGCTTTCTGTTGCTTTCCGTTCTGTTAGATTGCTTCTTCTCCCTCTTCTAGATATTCATTGCCTGCGCTCTCTCCCCTCCTCTCTGTCCGACCTCATTTATCTTAGAGCCTCCCTGTCTCTCATCCTTTCCCTTTCTTGATGCCACTTTCTCTAATAGCCTGGTTTGCTCTCTGAGCCTCTCCTTCTCATCTCCCTTTTTCTCTGTTCTTCATTGCCCCTCCTTTCACTTTGCCTGTTTTCAAACCCTTCAGCTCTCTTCATTCTTTGACCTTTTCTGTCTTCTACGTCATCCCCTCTTCTTTTATTTTTCTCCACCAACACCTCTTTATCTCCCCTCTCCTTTTCACTTTTCCCGATTTATCTCCTCGCCCTCCTCTCATCCCTTGCCGTCTCTTCATCTTCTCGCCCTGCCCGGTAAATATGACAGAGACATCTCTCCTGTGACATCCGATTGTGTGTTCTGCCTCTATCTGCCTGTCTGCCTCCACAAACATTTGACACCATCGGTCACCTCAGAAAATGCCTCTTTTCAAAAGCAATGACCACAGCTTTTGTCAAGGAGACGCTCATCCCCATGACATGCAAACACAGCCCCATCAGAAGTCTGATGCCTTTAGAAACAATGTTTCAATATATCTGCATGTTTAAGTGTAACAGACATGAAAAAAGTATGAACACATGCTTTGTGTTACATTTATAGTGTGTTTGTGTCTCATTGTGATCAGCTAATGTACATGTCTGCATAGTTATGGTTGTTCCCACCCTCAATCCTAGCCCAGGTTCTACTAAAACACAATTACTGGGAACAAAAATGTGGTTTAGTGTGTTGCTATATTTAGTTTATTAAAGTCCTTTTATGTCTTGCTTTCAGCTCCTTTATCACAGTGAAGCTGGGTCAGATTAGGACACGAATTTGTCATGCCAAAGTCAAAGAGGGTAGCTCTATAGGAGACTGTGTATGCAATAATCTTCAAACAATACTGGTTTTAGAGGGCTGTAATGCTTTGCCCTAGTTTCCAATGATTGTTTTTTGACATTTGTAAAACAAGTCTTTCGCCTGGTTGTAACTTCAATCTACAAAACTCGCTTACAAAATCACACAAACTCAGGAGCATTTAAAAAAGTAAAAATAAAGAAAATACTACACATATATCTAAAAACTGGAATCCTTGATGCTGACGGATTGAAATCATTTCTTTGTAACATTGACAAGAATATTTATTTTCATATGTCGATGCCTGTATGAGAAAAAGTATTTAAATATTCTCTTTTTCCCTCACTAGTTTCAGTTTTATAATGTAAAACTTAATTATATTTACGTTACATGATACTTATTGTATAAGATAATTATTTCTGGGATACTAAATGACAATTTGATGTGTATTTTGTTGCTTTCAGTAGAAATCCTGCTGATGACTTTCAGTGGATTTTAGATGGAAATTCTGTGTTTCACTCACTATAAACCATCTTCTAATCAGAGGGCCAAAAAGCCACTCTTCTTATTTGGTATTAGATGAAGGAAATATTTAATCTATACTGACCGTCATCGCTGTTGTCGTCCACCAGGATGACCTCCTTGAGCAAGTGCGCTGGTGTGTGATTGACAGCTGAGTGGACTGAGCGCAGGATCACCGACAGAGCCTCGTTGACGAAGATGAAGATGAGGGAGATTTGGGGAAGGTCTCTTGAGTAGCTGACCTTTCTACATCTGTAGAAAGACACGACACAACAACTGTAAACTACTTGCATTAAGTAATACGAGGTGCCAGTGGAGCACTAGAGTGATGGTTTGGGAAAATTAGTCTACAAAGTTATACAATTAGAAAGACAATAATGATTTTGTATTGATGAGCCCATTTACCATGATTTCTAACATTTCTGATCAATTGAATGTTATATTAAATAACAAGGAATATGCCTTTCTTTTTTAAAAATAAGGACATTTCTCAGTGAACCTTAATTTTTGAGTGCTCGCATATTTAATTTTGAATTTGTACGCTCCACTCAGCCTCAATTATTCCAGCAAAAGACCAAACTACCTCCATGGAGCTGCTGACGTCTTGTTCAATGGGGCTGAAAGGCAGAGCGAGTGCCGCTTCCTGTTCAACTATAATCGCAAGGATTTTTTTTCCACATTGGCCTTTTTACTGCATGTGCTGTTTCAGATAGAAACCCTATTTTTAAGTTGTTTTGTTTAAACAGCTCTAATGAAGAGGAAAGCGGCAGGGTGGGGCTTTGGCTCTAAGTTTAGCACATGTGGGAAAGGAAGGGGCTTCTTTTATTGTCTCCTTTTTACGTCTTTTTTTCTTTTATCGATTATCTTATTTCCTCTGTGAAATAATAGCTAATTAGAAGTTATTCTATAACAAATCCAGGGTTTTCAATTCACGAGGTTGGAGAACACTTTGGCAGGAAACCATTAGAAAACAGAAGGCAACATTAACGAGATTAACCACGAAGAACTGGGACATTTGTCACCTTTTTTCTCCTTCTGATACAATATTGCAAAAGTCTTGAGGCATCCTCATTTCTTTATATTCTGCTGGGAAGATGGGAAATAGGCACAGCAATTCACTGAAACGTGCAAACATAAATGGAAATACAGTACATAAGGCAAAAATGTACTTGAAAGTCAATATTTGGTATGGCTACCTTTACTATTGAACATAGCCTGGACTCTGTCTTTCCTGAACACACTGCTTTAATAAATGTTGAGGTCTGGGCTCTGGGGAGGCCAATCCATGACTGATCTAGGTATACTTTTACTGCATTCACGGTGTGTTTGGGATCATTGTCATAATTAAAAAATATATGCCTTTTCCAACTAGATGCTTTTCAGCTGGGACTGCATGATTAATGAAAATCTTAATATCTGGTTCATATTTCCATCAGCTTTCTCAAGATTCCCAACACCACTGGCTGAAACCATGGCAGAGCCTTCGTCGTGTTTTACAGATGGATGTAGACACCCTCTGTTGGAGTCATATCAACAATTATTTGAACCAAAAATGTCAAATATGAATTCATAATGAGACCTGTTGCCACTGATATAGTCCAGTTCTTTTCTCCCTGTTTCTCTTCATTAAAAATGGCTTCCTGACAGCCTTCCACTGAGACCATGGCTGTATCCCAATTCAGGGTCTGCAGCCTT